ACTAACATCATCCGGATCAGATTCTTCTTGAGCAATCATTGCCTTTCCATCTCTCTTCTTGAGCTTGGAGTTCAAAGGATTTGGCAACTTCTTCTTGGGAAAGGTCTTGGGAAACCTTGGTTTATCTTCTCTCTTCTCATAAGGGCACTCGTTGGAGAAGTGATTGGTTTCTTCACAGTTGTAGCATTTTCTTACTTTCTTCTTTTGCAATCTTCCCTTGAATTTCCCCGCGCTAAACTTCTTGACAAAAAGAGCCATGTCTTCATACGAAGGGCCCTCGTCGGATTCAATCTCATCACCATCTTCATCATCATCATCATCTTCTTCTTCTTCACTTTGCTCATCTTCACATACTTTCTTGGCCTTCAATGCAAGATTGATCTTTGATGATGGGGAACCATGCATGGCAAGATGTTTTGTGGCATTAGCCTTTGACTCTTCAAATAGTTGGAAGGTGGATATGATGTCATCTGTAGTCATTTCCTTGAAGGTATGGTGTTGTCTTATGTCCCACACCATTTGATGGTGATATGGAGCAAGAGCATGAAGCAACTTATCCACAAGAAACCTCTTAGTCATGTTGAATCCATCTTGTGTCTTGTCACACTCACATGACTCAATATCCGCAGTGAGAGTCATGAGACGCTCATGGAGTTGATTGGGGGTTTCACCTTTTTCCATACAAAAGTTTTGCAATTGCCCCTTGGCAATTTCATATTGAGCACTCCGGAGGGTAGAAGTGCCAGTCTTGGATCGTATAATACTTTCCCATAGTTCCTTGGCACTTGTGATGTGTATGAACGGTCTCCTTTGCTTTTCATCCATACCTCTCCTTATACACATGATTGCCGTGTCATTGAGGTTCTTGTCATATATTTCTCTTGGTGTGGGGTTCTTTGGATCAACCACATGATAGCCATACTCTATGATCTCCAGCATCTCATCGTTTCCATGTCGAAGATGATCCTGCATAGCAACTCTCCACAAAGCAAAATCGGAAGTGGCACTAAGTAAAGGAGGTTTGCCTTGAGGATTATATCTTGGTTTCTCAACCTGAGGTCTTGCATAAAGCCAAGGAACACTGGCGTGTTCATTACTAGGAGGTTGTTGACCAAGTCATGAAGTAGGCACGGTTGGCCTCGAACCCACACCACCTGAGTGTGGTGCAAGCACCGCGTACAACGTGGCTAATCTCAGTTGGACCAAGGCCTCAAGAGAAGCATCATGCTCCTCTTTTTGCTTAGCAAGAGCCCGTTCTAGATCCTCAGACGTAAAGGACATGACTTCAGAAGAAACCTCACCTTTATCCTTAGGATCTACAACCAGGGGAGTCCCATCTGGGTTCATCTCGCTCTAGGGCGGTTAAGCCACAAGAATAGAGCACGAGGCTCTGACACCAATTGAAAGGATCGAGATGGACCTAGAGGGGGGGTGAATAGTTACAATTACAAATTTTAATTATTACTTAGCAATTTTAGGCAATAATGCGGAATATGAAGATGAGCCTAACAATTGCACGTGAGCACAAAGTACTAAGCAAGTAACACAAACACGTAAGTAGGCAAGCACAATATGATGTACGTAAGTGTAAAGAGACAAGTAACCACAAGTAGAGAGTTAGGGTTAGGAATAACCGCAACTCCGGGAGACGAGGATGTATGCCGATGTTCACTTCCTTGGAGGGAAGCTAGTCACTGTTAGAGAGGTGGATGTTACCACGAAGGCACACCAATGCCACAAAGGCTCACCCTATTCTCCCTTTGAGACAACACCACGGAGGCGTTTCTCAACCACTAGTGGTAGACCTTGGGGTGGTCTCCAAACCCTCACAAACTTTTCCGAGGGTAATCACAAAGTTCGATTTCTCTCCGAATGACTCCTACCGCCTAGGAGTCTCCAACCTCCAAGAGTAACAAGAACGATGGGGAAAAGCTCAAAACTTGCTCAAATCACGAATTCCTTTGGTGCAAAGAAGGGGAAGGAGTGGATCTATCACTTGATTGGAGAACTTCTCTCAAATGCTCCTAGAACACTTGGGAATCTAGGATTTGGTGTGGATGAATGAGAGAGAGAGTGAGGAGTGTTCTTGATAGGCTCAAAGTGAATGGTCAGTCCTATCCCGTGGAAGGGAAAGGTATATATATATAGGTGGTGGGTAAAAGTGACCGTTTGGAGAAACGTAAGTGTATAGGATGGGCCGGACATTCGGAGAACGTCAGACGTCCGGAGGCACAAATAGGTCCGGACGTCCGACAGTCATCGGATGACCGGCCGCTGTGAAACTGTGAGCCACAACCCAGTGTACAGGATACGGACGTCCGAGATGGGCCGGACATCCGGAGCACGGACGACCGAAGAGTCCGGACGTCCGTAAAAATGCTTCTGTTGTGAAAGTGCCGGACGTCCGGAGAGTTCTGGACATCCATAAAAATGCTTCTGTAAAGGAACACTGGACGTCCGGAAGTGGCCGGACGTCCGGGCAATCAAGAGGGACCGGACGTCCGTAGAAAACCGGATGTCCGAAGGCAAGGTATAGAAAAAGTGGCTTTTGAGCAAGTTTTTCACTAGATCCAACGATCCCCTCTTAATAGTGCGGGATCCCTATACTCAAGAACAAACCATAAATGAAGTCAATATCTTGTATCTCCATTCTTGAGTTATATGCTTTTTGTCCCTAGTCATGATCCATGCACACGGTCTTTGAGACATAATCCTGAGATATACTTGATAAACATGATTAGTCCCTAGCATATGTGTTGTCATCAACATCAAAATATGATTAAGGGCATGATTGCACTTTCAACATGCTCTTTGTTTTGGAACAAATATTTCAACCATGGTATTATAGGAGCATACCACATCACCTTGGCAGGAATCTTCTTCCTGGGGCGCTCGCCCTCGACATCACCAGGGTCATCACGACTGATCTTATAACGCAATGCACCACATACCGGGCAAGCGTTCAAATCCTCATACGCACCGCGGTAAAGGATGCAGTCATTAGGGCATGCATGTATCTTCTGCACCTCTAACCCTAGAGGGAAGACAGCCTTCTTTGCTTCATACGTACTCTCGGGCAATTCGTTGTCCTTTGGAAGCATATTCTTTATCATTACCAGTAACTTTCCAAATCCCTTGTCAGATACACCATTATTTGCCTTCCATTGCAGCAATTCCAGTGTGGTGCCCAACTTTTTTTGTCAGCTTCGCAATTCGGGTACAACAATTTCTTGTGATCCTCTAACATGCGCTGCAACTTCTTCCTCTCCAAATCACTTGCGCAATTTTTCTTTGCATCGGCAATGGCCCGACCTAGATCATCAGCTGGCTCATCTGATGCCTCTTCTTCAGCTTGTTCCCGCATTGCCGGCTCAGCTTCTTCGTCCATTGTTGTATTATCGTATTCAGGGAACCCATGGCCAGGATAAATGTCGTCGTCCTCTTCTTCTTCATTATCTTCCATCATAACCCCTCTTTCTCCGTGCTTGGTCCAAACATTATAGTAGGGCATGAAACCGAACTCAAATAGGTGGACGTGAATGGTTTTTGACGTAGAGTAATTGTGACCATTCTTACAGCCAGCACATGGTCAAGGCATAAAACCATCCGCCCGCTTGTTTGACTCAGCGGCAAGCAGAAAAGTATGCACGCCATTAATGAACCCGGGAGAGCATCGGTCATCATACATCCATTGTCGGCTCATATCTTCATTATACACAACACCAAATAGACCAAATTAATACAAGTTCATACATAAAGTTCATATACAACACTTAATTAAATGCAACATACAAATAACTCTCTAGCTAAAGAATTTAAATGCAACAACAAATGCGATCAAGATCGCAACTAAGGTAACAATTGATCCAACAACATAATGATACCAAGCCACACTATCAATGGCATATTTTCTAATATTTCTAATCTTCAACCTCATTTTCTCCATCTTGATCTTGTGATCATCGACGACATCGGCAACATGCAACTCCAGTTCCATCTTCTCCCCCTCAATTCTTTTCAATTTTTCTTTCAAATACCCGTTTTTCTCTTTCACCTAAATTTAACCTCTCGACAATAGGGTCGGTTGGAATTTCCGGTTCACATACCTCCTAGATAAAAATATCTATGTCAACTTGATGGGCATAATTTGTCATAAACACGAAATGCAACAACTAGTTTTAAAAGAGAATATACCACATTCGAATCATAACAAGGACGAGGGCCGACGGGGACGGATATCAAAACCATGGCACTATGTATAACAAACAACATACGGGTAAGATAATTATACGAGTAACTATATATCCAAATCACACAAACATCAATTTGGTAATGTAAAACATTCATGAACAAGAGCCTCACCACAAGGTGGTGCCGGCGACGGGACGGTGCGGGCGATCGACGGTGGTTACGACGGAGATTTAGAAGGCACTAAGTAAACCACACCTACATATGCAAACTAAGTGTTGTTTTTGACCTCAAATTGCATATAAATCAAATACTAGCAAATATAATTCCTCCCAAATTAATCACCATACAAAGCATTGCAAGAGCTAATCTAGCAATGAGAGTTGAAAGGACAAAGTTGCTAACCTTTGTGATCATTTGAATGGATGGGGGCCTTCAAATCTTGACAAATTTTGGGCAAAATGTGTGATGAGCTCGAGAAAGAGAGGGGAAGAACAGAGGAAGTGAGGGGAAAGGGGAAGAACAGAGTGGCTCGGGTGGACGAAGGGTTTATGTACGTCGACCTTTAGTACCGGTTCGTGCCACGAACCGGTACTAAAGGTGCTGGACGGCCCCCAGACTGACAACATCCTGCCACCACTCTCTTTAGTACCGGTTCGTGGCACGAACCGGTGCTAAAGGTTCGTCACGAACCGGTACTAATGAGAGCGGCCGGTTAGCCGTTTGAACCGGCACTAATGGACACATTAGTGCCGACTCAAAATCGAACCGGCACTAATGTGTCTCAGATTTGCCCCTTTTTCTACTAGTGAGCTGAATACCTGCAGTTTTGAAGTTGTGCGTGTGTTGGATTTAGAAGGTTGTACTGTTTCAGATCCTGGGTATATGAGGAAGTTATTACACTTGAGGTACCTACGGCTGATACATGCACATGTTAATGAGCTTCCAGTGGAAATAGGAAAGTTGCAATTTCTGCAGACGCTGGACTTGAGACGAGCTCGTGGTATAAAAGAACTACCGTTGAGTATTGTCCGTCTACGGCATTTGATTTGCTTGTACGTTCACGAGGGCATGAAGATGCCATCCGGAATGTGTAACCTCACGTCCCTAGAAGTGCTAGACGGACTGCTGGTAGGCCAGTTATCTTCAGGCAATTTTAATCAAGACACTGCAAAAGAGTTGGGCCAACTGACCAAGTTGAGTGTGCTCCGGTTTAAATGGAGATGTATCAATGACACCACTGATAAAACTTTGGTTGAGTCCCTAAGTAACCTGCACAGAATACAAAATCTAGATATTTGTGCAGATGGCGGTCGACATGTCGATCTCATGCGTGAAGGCTGGGTTCCTCCCCCACAGCTCCATAGATTGCAGTTTCAGGGAACCACCTGCTCATTCCAGACTCTGCCAACATGGATTAATCCTTCAACGCTTCCTTTACTTTCTTACCTGGAAATATGGGTGGAGGAAGTGCGACCGGATGACATTCTGCTCCTCGGGCTGTTGCCCGCTCTGCGCTCTCTCTCCCTGGTGCGCAGTACTACATTCTCAGGGGGGGCTGCAGTGGAAATGTCAGTCGTCGCCGCTGATGCATTCCCATGCGCGACGGAGTGCCGCTTCATCGGTGTCGCCGCAGTGCCATCTATATTTCCACAAGGAGCTATGCCAAGGGTTAAACTCCTCCGCTTTGGCTTCCCCGCCGTGTGGATTTCCCGTGGCGACTTTGATTTCGGCATGGGACACCTCCCTTCCCTGAAGTATGTCCAGGTTGAGCTTCTGTGTGAAAAAGCAACTGACGTCGAGCTGGAGGAAGCAGATGCTGCAGTGAGGGCCGCAGTGGAGGAACATCCCAACGGCGTGCACCTTAATTTGTCCACTTGGTAATGTTGGCACACCGGGAAAGGTACAACTACTCCACCTACAACAACAACAACAACAACAAAGCCTTTAGTCCCAAACAAGTTGGGGTAGGCTAGAGGTGAAACCCATAAGATCTCGCAACCAACTCATGGCTCTGGCACATGGATAGCAAGCTTCCACGCACCCCTGTCCATAGCTAGCTCTTTGTCGATACTTCAATCCTTCAGGTCTCTCTTAACGGACTCCTCCCATGTCAAAATCGGTCGACCCCGCCCTCTCTTGACATTCTCCGCACGCTTTAGCCGTCCGCTATGCACTGGAGCTTTTGGAGGCCTGCGCTGAATATGCCCAAACCATCTCAAACGATGTTGGACAAGCTTCTCCTCAATTGATGCTACCCCAACTCTATCTCGTATATCATCATTCCGGACTCGATCCTTCCTCGTGTGGCCACACATCCATCTCAACAACTACTCCACCTCCACGAGTAAAATGCAAACGCGGTCCTAATTCTTTTCTGAAATTGTCACTTGAGTTCTAATTCTTTCAAAATGCATATCTGAGTCCTAAATCTTTCTAAGTTGTTCTCGTAACCCTATGACCCATATATGCATTTTAGACCCAGATATGCATTTTGAAAGAATTAGGACCCAAGTGACACTTTCAGAAAAGAATTAGAACCACGCTTGCATTTTACTCCCACCTCCACTCAGCACACACCTACTAACATTTCTGTGTTCACAAGTCCCAAATGTTCAATCCTTTCGTGGCCTTTTCTTTTTATTTCAGGGGAGGATGATGGCAAGCCTGCATGTGACGAGGTTCGCCACTCGCCCATGAGCTACCTCTGTTATACATACATTGTTTTTCTTTCACCTACTGTTATGTATTCAGTGTTCATTTATTCTGTCATTGTTTCCAGTTTCAGGTGGAAGGATTGATTCATCAAGCCATGCAATCAGGTACTCCATCAGTCAGTAGCACACTAGCACCAAACTATACGCTATTTAAGCATTTTCCTTTAGCCTATTTTCTGTAGCTAGCTAGTTCGATCAGTCCATTACTACTGTCTAATTTTTTTTTTTTGCCTGCCACAAGATTAAGCATGACGAGTTTCCCAGATTAGCAAATAATTCACTAGCTATATTCCCTTCTGCGTAGTTGGATGAACTGAGTTCATTTTTCGTTGTACAGCTGAGCATATCCATGCCCTTCTGTACGCTTGGATTGGATGAACTCTGTTTTTCCTTTTGCCCTACCTTCATATTTTAAGTACCAAGAAAATATCAAGAATTTCTCCTTGGTTCTGAACTTTTTATTTCTTGTGGTGCAAACAAATAGCACTACGTGTTGTTACTATCTAGCACAAGATTATGGCATGAAGATCAAGAATCTGCAAATAATGCGCATGCCCTTTCTGTACCTGGATGAACTCTGTTTTCATGTGCAGCATTTAACTGAACCACCTGTTCGCAGGAGCTAACAGATTTCGTCGACATGGATTCAATCGATCGTGCGATAGCTTCCAACCAAGACCGTCAAGAGCATTGTAATTCTGTTGCCGTTTGATCATCTTGTGCAGCCACGTAAGGCTCTCATGCATACTGTCCACTTGTGTCTGAATTTTCCTCTTGCTTGAGGGCAACTAAAGAACAATGAAGTGTGTAGGGCCGACCCCATGCAATTTTCCCATGATGAACTATTAATTATTTTCCTGGTTTGCTCCCAATGATTTTTTTTTGACAATCACAAGACTTTATTTCTCAGATAATAGCCAAGTCTGTTACAATGAGTTGAGAAATAAAATCAGGAGGGGTAGCATCCCACATAGAACTAGACTTTGAATTAAAACTGGATTTAGCCAGATAATCTGCTATAGAGTTTGCTTCACGTGTGCAGTTGTTGAAAGAAACAGAAGCACAGTTTGCCTTCAATTCATTGCACTCCATGACAATCGCTGCTTCCGGGTCCAGATAACTTTCAAATTTTTCCACCGCTTCTAACGCCAATTGGCTACCAGACTCCACAATCACCTTGGAGCATCCAATATGGGCAGCTAAGTATAAACCATTCCGTATAGCAAGAATCTCTGCTGAAACAGCACTGTCAATATGTGGAAGAAACCATGATGCAGCAGCCAAGAACTGGCCACTATCATCCCTTGCAATAGCACCCGTCGCCCCGGAGAGAATATCCTCGTGAAAAGAGGCGTCCACATTGATCTTCACCTTCCCCCTGGTTGGTTTCTTCCACATTTGATCTCTCTTTCTAATTGGTTGGTTGGGTGTTGCTGCTCGTACATAGTTCGTCGCTAGGACCTTAATTGAAATAGCTGAATGGTGTGCATCTGAAATCGTTTCCCCCTTTGCAAACTGGCGACGTTGCCACCAAATATACCACGCAACCACCGTAATCAACTGAGCCGCTGGAAGATCACCAATTGACGAGTGGTTTCGCAATAAAATCTCCATGGTAACTGATCCCGAGCGGTCCTCCAGTGCTGCTTGGTTGATCACCTCATTCAGGCCTAATTCTTTCCATACTTCCATAGCACGACAACACAAGAATAAGCAATGCTGAATATCTTCAAACCCAACTTTGCAAACCGGGCATTGACCAGATACCGGTATATGACGTTTCGCGAGGACTCCATAGCATGGCAGAATGCCCCTGAGCACCTTCCAAGCGAAATGCTTAATCTTGCCAGGAACTCGGAGTTTCCACGAATGTTTCCAAATGCCATTTATTACAGACCCTCCTTGTCCATCAGCAGGAGAAACGCGCGAGCCAAACTGATGATTGAACTCTGCATGGTATGCTGAACGGACTGAGAAGGTTCCTGACCGTGTAAGCTGCCATGCCACAAAATCGTCAACAATACTCACATTAAGTGGGATCCTTAGTATCCTTTCCATATCGACTGGATTAAACACGGACTGCAATAAGGCTTCATCCCATGTGCCCGAGTGCGGGTCTATGAGCTCTTCAACTTTGGACAACATAACCCGCCCCCTCGGCGTTATAACTTTGCGCGAGGCACTTGACGGTATCCATGGGTCCAGCCAAATATTGATATTAGAACCTGTCCCAACTCTCCAAATAAACCCCCTCTTAAATGTTTGAATTCCTGATACTATACTCTGCCAAGTATAAGAAGAGCATTTCTTAGGGCCAGCATTAAGAATGTTACCATCGGGGTAATACTTTGCACTGAGAACACGCGCACACAAAGAGTCCGGATCTTGGATCAGTCGCCAACACTTCTTTGCTAACATAGCAAGATTAAAGCTGTGTAAGTCTCTGAATCCCATTCCACTTTCCTTCTACGGGATGCACATTTTCCACCATGCATACCAATGCATTTTTTTCCTATCTTCATCATCACCCCACCAAAAGCTTGACATTTCATCTGCTATTGACTTGAATATACTCTTTGGTAGCTTGAACACAGACATGACATAGGATGGTATTGCTTGAGCTACCGATTTCAAGAGAATTTCTTTGCCTTGCATAGACAAAACCTTTTCTTTCCACCCTTTCAGTCTCTAGCACACTCGATAAATGAGGTGTTGGAAGCAATCGTTGCGATCCACCCCAACCATAGTTGGGAGACCAAGATATGTGTCTGAAAGGGCCTCCGTTAATATATCAAGTTCTCCACAAATACCTTCTCTGATAAGGACACTAGTATTAGGGCTGAAGAAAATACTCGACTTGGAAGTACTTACCAATTGTCCAGAGCTACTACAATAAGTATCAAGCACCCTCTTCAGGGTCACCACATTCTGAAGAACAGCTCTCATAAGGATGAGAGAATCATCCACAAAGAGTAAAGGAGATATTGATGGGGCATTCCTACACACTTTCACTCCCTCTATACCTCATGTTTCCTCTTCATGGGCTAGCATACTTGACAATCCCTCCGAGCAAAGTAAGAACAGGTAGGGGGACAAGGGGTCTCCCTCTCTTAGTCCATGAGAAGGGAGGAACTCATCAGTTTCAGTATTATTAAATCTGACTCTGTAGCTTACCGAAGAAACACATTCCATGATGAGCTCAATCCACTGCGCCTGGAAACCCATCTTTTTCATAATCTCTCTCAGAAATCCCCATTCAACTCTGCCATAAGCTTTCATCATGTCCAGCTTTACTGCGCAATAGCCATTAGTGCCATGAGTTTTCTTCTTGATGGCGTGAAAGCACTCATAGGCAACCAACACATTGTCAGTTATTAGACGCCCAGGCACAAACACACTCTGTGTTGGGGCTATAATGTCAGGAAGAATCTTTTTCAACCTATTAGCAATCATCTTGGAGATGATTTTATACACCACATTGCATAGGCTGATTGGTCTATATTGTGTAATTACCTCAGGATTTTGTACCTTTGGAATCAACACGTTTGTTGCATTCCACCCCTCTGGGATTTTCTTGCTGTCTATTGCTTCCAGTACTTCCTTGGTTAGTTCATCACCCAGGATGTGCCAGAATCTCTTAAAGAAAATTGCATGTAGACCATCTGGCCCTGGGGCCTTCATATCACCGATATGAAATAGAGCTTTGCGCACATCTTCCTTGGTATAGGGAGCAACTAGTAAACCATTCATATCATTAGTTACTATAGACTTTACCGATGCAAGAAGATTAACATCTACCTGTTCTGCACCAGACTGGAAAAGATTTTTGAAGTAATCCGAGATAAGAGGCCTGAGATTATCATTCCCCTCAACCCATCCATTCTCATTCACACGCAGTTTTTTGATTAGATTTCTCCTTCTTCTAGCCGAGGCAAAATGATTGAAGTATTTGGTGTTTCGATCACCCTGGCAAAGCCAGTTAACTCTTCCACGTTGTGACCAATAGATTTCATCTTGCTCGAGCAGATTTTCAATCAACACCGACATTTCATTCTGCTTAACACCCACATCCGGGGTAAAGGGAATATTCATCAATCGTTCCAACTCTCTTTGGGCCTTTTTTAGTCTCGCACAAGGCGCCTTGAGAATCTTCCTGTCCCAATCGTG